ACACTGTAGTGACATAGGTGTTTTCATTAATATCCAGTCAGTCTGTCTGTGCATTTTTGATGACAATTGAAGGCATAAAACATGTAAAATTATATGACAAGACCKCAAACTGGTGTTTACTTTGTCTAATGCAATACGCACTTTGACTATTATTTTGATGTAGCTTTGCACAGGAAAGAAATCTTGCAGGTCTTTTCATGGATTATTATTCAAAATCCTTCCGGCTCCAGAAAACCAAAACAAAACAAAAAACAATGCAAGCATAATATGACAGAATGACCTAGTATATCCACAAAGATCAAACAGCTTTCAATGTTATCTCCGATTAATCTTTTATGACTGTAGGCAAAGATTAAAATCATATATAAGACAAAAAAAAGACAAATCCTGCTTGTGTTGAAAACAAAGTGTGAATCAGTGTTGACATTTTAATTATTACTTATTTAGCCTTTCCAGTGATCAATATAATTTTTTTTAAATATTGATATCGTCTACGTATATGCTAATTAGTTTTATAACCCCCTCTCTTCAATTATTATTCATATTTTCTTGAAAAAWTTCCGGCTGTCAAAACAAAATCTGATTTAATTCACAGGTAATCTACATATAAAAACATTYACAAAGTAAAAAGGCAAAGAAAACTCTTCAACCATTTGTAATGCATTATTTTTACAAGTTGAAAAGAGATTCAATTTTCAAATTATACAAAACACGTAAAAACATGTCTTTTTTTCTCGTCTCTCGTCAAACGCACAAATAGCAGAAGGTAAATTATTTGTTGGCGGTTTGAAAATAAGAAAACATTGAACCAAAATTTATCGCTGATCGACGGAAACTTTTAAATTAATGACAGCTTGACATTTTCTACCTTATAAAGTCGTGAAAGTTGCAACATAAGTATATCTTGTTTTGGTGCTAAAATCTTATAAAACATGCTTTTTACAGAGCAAAATAATTGTTCTTACTCACCTTAGATTAAGTTCAAAGGTCTGTAACTGAACAAAGTTTGCAAGATAAAAATATACGTATAAAAGTCAATGATAACTTTGGGATGGTCACGCCATGTTTGGGATGCTTCTCGATGCAAATCATCGAATGGATTCAGATGATTCAGGAAATAATTCTAGATCATTCTTGWTGAATTCCTTGCTATCCTTGTTCTTCTTCAATAACTTTAATCCCAGCTCTAATTGCAGGGAAACGAACTCATAAAATGACGAATAAAGTTCTGCAGTTTACAAAGACGTTAATGAGTTGCTTGCCTCCGTTTATATTTCGCTTTTGCTGTTTATCGTGTRAATAGAAGGCGAGGAAATATCATGCAAATTATTCCTATGACAGATACCAAACCCTGTCAGATTGTAYTGCACGTAGAACCCGAGTTTGGATAGGCGTCGTTCATCATCACCAAATATAACAACACAGCACTTTGACCCCCTGAAACGAGTATCTCGTCGCCTTCACTACATCACACGTGATGAAAGTTCAGGGCGATTTCTGCATCTAAAATTTCTTCTTTCGCAACAACTTCCTGTAGKAATACCGAAAATTGTTCCCTAGTTTTTCCTTGAAAAGATCTCCAATAATYCAAGCCAGGTCCGCTTTCGCAATTGTTTTTCTTTCACAAGAAAAACTCACGGCCAAAAAAACTTTGTCAATGAAAACAAACTTTGGTCAAGTGATTTGCATGAACCCTCTAAGTGCGCATGCGGATAAGGTGATATTGCAATCGTTATTATGACGGATAAGGTGATATTTCAATCGATATTGTGACGGATTTGGGAAACATAGGGAAACATCGGGAAACATCCTTCCGGATTCCGCACAATTATCGATTAGGAATGTGTAGATTTCAAGATGGCGTACTCAACACGTGGGGTATACAATCCACTGGAAGTTTGCAATGGAGATGTTGGGTTTTCAGGTCAATTTGACGATGCAGATGAAGATAATTCAGAAGTTCCTCAATTTCTCAAACATCTGGATGCAAATAATACCGAAMAAATCGACAAAAATGACGATTACTTGGCCGAGACAGTACGCCAAGATACACAAAAACAATGTGGTCGAAYGTCTTCGGAATCGTACGACGAAATGAGCGATGATGAGTCATGGGATTGGGAAGACGAGACCGGAGATTTTACAAAACGTTATAACGCAAGTCGTTCAAACGTAAAAGTGTCAAATCCATCCTCATCGAGGAAATCTGCTCTTCAGCCAACSGAAAAGTCTATGCAAAAATATGGGGGTAGGATCAGCGTCGACAAGTATGAGGGCCCTGCWCTGAATGTATTGAAAGAAAGCTCTAGAAAGAAAGAGAATGAAAAAATGAGATCAAAGGATAAAGCCGACAGAGCGACAGTAGAGCAGGTTCTAGACCCGAGGACAAGAATGATCATTTTTAAGCTATTAAATAGAGGGTTTGTWTCTCAAATAAACGGTTGTATTAGCACTGGGAAAGARGCAAATGTCTACCATGCAACGACTAATATAGAGAACCAAGACAGRGCTGTCAAAGTGTATAAAACATCCATCTTGGTCTTTAAGGACAGAGATAAGTACGTCACGGGMGAGTTTCGATTTCGACATGGGTATTGCAAACATAATCCCAGAAAGATGGTCAAAACATGGGCAGAGAAAGAAATGAGAAACTTAATTCGTTTGCATCAAGCTGGCGTTCCCTGTCCAGAGCCTATTATTTTACGCAGTCATGTTCTTGTCATGGAGTTTATYGGCAAAAATGGYTGGCCTGCMCCCTTACTGAAAGACGTAWCCCTCTCTGAGGCYAARGCAAGRGAACTTTACTTACAGTGTGTGAAAATGATCAGGGATATCTACTGGAAAAGTCGTCTTGTGCATGCAGACTTGAGTGAATTTAACATGCTGTACCATGAAGGCGGCGTATTTGTAATTGATGTCTCRCAGTCAGTAGARCACGACCATCCTTGTGCATTRGAATTTCTTCGCAARGACTGCACAAACATCAATGATTTCTTTAAGAAGAAAGGTGTATGTGTGATGACTGTCCGTGAACTCTTTGATTTTGTCACAGACTCCAGCATTACAGATGATAATGTTGGAGAATACCTGGAAAAAGCACAGGAAATTGCAGCCAATCGCAAAGACAATGACTCCACTGATCAACTAAATGATGAAGTTTTCAAGCATGCTTATATTCCAAGAACCTTGAATGAAGTTGTGGACTTTGAAAAAGATATGGAAAAAGCCAAAGTTGGGAAAACAGAAGACATCATGTATCAGAAAGTGATCGGCATGAAGAGTGATCTTTCTGGTACTCTTCTCATTCCAAAACTWCTTGAAGGCAACCTGGAAATGGCAGTAGAAAATAACCTTAACATCAATGATGATACTAGTCAAACATCAACACATAGAGATGATGGCAGTTCGCAAATAGAAACTAGTAGTGATGATGATGATGAAAATAATGATGGAGATGATGAAGACACGGACAAGAAAGAGGGAGTTGAACAAGAAATGAGTAAAAAAGAACACAAGAAAATGGTAAAGGAAGCAAACAGAGAGAAGAGGAAAAATAAAATCCCTAAGCAYGTGAAAAAGCGCAAAGAAAAAGTAGCTAAAATCAAGAAGGGAAATAAATAATGAACTGTGAATAATTAAAGGGGCATTACCAACATTATTGACAATAAATATATATTGTAAAGGTCAACATTGTGTTGATGCCAGACTTCTTAATTGTAAATAATTATGGAGAAACATGAAATAGCATACCACTGATATTGTAAGTGTGTTTTATTATCAGAGATTTAAAATTATAAACTTTTCTGTGTCTCCTAGAACCATGCCACATCAAAACTTTGCTTAAAATATTTTGAATTTCTGAACAGCCCGCATTCCTTTTGTTTAAGTGTTTGAAACTTCCTGTGCAACCAGTATTCTTATATTTTTCTTTCATGATATCATATTTTCCCCTTTCTTTTCACTTTTCTTTGCTCGGAAAGTTTTACGAAGTCTTGTGCTCCAAAATGTTGGGTTACCTGTCTTCCCACGTGAGCTTCAGTTAGGCGTTCTGTGATTGGTCGGTAAAAAAGTAAACGAGGCTTGAGATCAAGATGGCGGCTGTTGTGGTATCAATGAACAGCTATTATTTGGACAATTAACTCCYAATGGGCATCGTTTTGATATAATTACCCACTTAAAACTAGTCCTTAGTAACTCTTACGGCTTCCGTTGTCCAGAAATGTGTWTTTTCGGAGGACTTCTAGTAAAAGCGGAGTATCATTGCGTTGTGCATTTGACACACTTGGTTGTCACGACTGCTGGCTTGGTCACCTTCCAACAACTTTAGTTCAACTTTTCTATCGCAGATATGTTTCATCCTCAGTTCGGGTATGGTCCTAGACTTTGGCAAGGGTTTCAGCCCAGTCAGGTAAGAAATMTTCGKTAYAGTTGCCGGTAMAGTTGCATTTGTCGTTRKGAATTCAATCGTCAGCTTTCATTCAAGATACCTAAAACCCTTATCTTGACTTTTTATCTAATAATGTTATTTCTAAAATTCCTTGAATATTCAAAGAACTCTTAATTTTTTTCATCAAAATCTTTCAAGCAGCTGTATTTATAAAGTAATTTCATATTCATAGTTTGTTTACATTAGAATCTTTTGTTTTATTGGATTATCAGATCTTTTCTCTGACAGCAAAACATCTTAGCAACTATAAAACGGCTTTGAAATAAGCTTATTAGTTTTCCTTGMAAACAGTGAGAGTTTATATTTTGCATCATTAAAATTATTTTATTTTATTTCTCGATATAAACTTGGGTGCATGTCATTTCTATGTTAATAGGCGTTCTTTTGAAACCAAAAAACGTTTGTTTGGCTTCCGACTTTGCTCCACAATCCGAGAAAATAGAAACTTGATGGAAATTATCAAATAATGAGGGGCAAATATATAGATTCCTAGTGAGCTTGAAAAAAYTTTACAAGCTATTTTATCATCTGAAAATATTCCCAATATAAGCCAGAATTATATAATGTTTTCTTAAATTTTAAGAACTGATGCTTTTAAGCTCTGATTACAGAAAAGTTTGTAAAGAGCATTGCAAACTGATGCTAATTTTATTAAAAAGCTGTATTTTTTTCCTCAGGYGCTCCCCCAGCCCAATTTTTCTGTCCCACCACAGTTTGGATCCAATAATGGACCCTTTTCTCATATGAACGTCAACCAGCCGAGATTACCACCCAATAATAATGCAAGATGGGTCCATCCCCCAATCAATCCCATGATACCACARAATCATCCTCGCCATTTTGGTCCCAATTTTCCACAACAGTTAAGGCCTCCAGGCACAGATGGTGAAGCTTGCTTTCAAATGCCAGGCATTCCTCATCATAGCCCYATTGCTGGTCAAGTGAGCAATCCAACTGCATTTACATGTAACAGTCAAGGGCCTCCAATAATTCCAAATCCACCTATATTGTCTCCAGTTCATACGTCTATAAGTAACTATCCATTTAGTGGACAGCCATTACAAAACAACCAATCACTTCCTAGACAGCCACTGAATAACAGCCAACCCATTCCTGGACAACCTTTGCAGAATAGCCAATCTTTTCCTGGACAGTTATATCATAATACTCAGACACTTTCTGGGCAAATGTTTCATAATCAAGCATCTTCTTCAGGACAAATGAATGTATTTCCTGRACAAATATCAAATCCTAACCTTTCTCTTGGAAATAATAATTCTGTACAAGTACCTACACCACTGCAACCACCRCTACCACCTGACCCATTTCCTGGTCAAACTCTTATTCATCCACCACGTGAACCTCCCATGCCAACAAGRTCTGAAAAAGTTCCRATTAAAAGTAGAAGCAAAGACATAAACTTCAGCAGCAGAGATGCRAAGACACATAATTCRCCAAGCAAGAAAAACCATTCATTTAAAACTGATCATTCATCTAGAAAGGAGCAGGTTTCTCCTCGAAAACGAAAAAGCAATCAAAGTCCAAGTAGCACTAAACATGATAGTAAACGATSTAGGCATAACAGTGAGTCTTTTCGAAAGAAAGAACGTGAGCATGAAGACAGATCAGAAAGTAATATGAAGCACAATAGAAATGATCTCAAGACTTCTCAAAGGGATAGAAATGATCAAAGTGTTTCAAATAGAGACAAATGTAAATCAAGTATGTCTGATGTCAACAATCACAGGAGCTCTCATACACGGGATCCACGTAGTGATAAACATGTTGCTAGGAGACAGGATAGTAAACAAGGCGGGGATGATCACCACTCGTCTTTTAGGTAAGGTCATTGAGGCTGACTTAAACAACACAACTTCTTCTCTCAAATAATTTGCAAGCAACCTGCCTAAGTTCTCTTTACAGCATGGTAGAATATTGTAAAAGGAATATTGTCTATATCCCTCCAACAGTTGTAGCCATGTTATATGGATAACCTAGGCATTTTGATATTACAGTTTTTGTGATTTTGATTTCTTAATGTTTTTATTCACTCTTACAGCCAAAGCGTAAGACCGATTAGATCTGTCTCCCCTCCTGCACCTGACATCAAGAGAAAAATCAAGTTTATMGTCCCTGAGGATTTGTATCAACTTMAAAGAGAGGGAACAGTAAGTTTTTCTCTCATCTGAAAAAAGCAATATTCTAACTCTGAAGATAGTATTAACATGGGTTGATTTGTTTTAAATTAATAATGTGGAACATTTATTTTATGTAGTTATTTTATACCAAGCATGCATGGATATTKCARTAAAATTCATATCTTTCTCGGCACYTCATACTACTCTTGGGCTTCCTGTGTCTACAGATACCACAGGGATCCCATGATGGTATAATAAACATTTGCCTTTGTGGGAGATAACTTAAGATATGCTAATAAAACAATGAACTCACTGCCCCACTTTATTTAATGTTTGTCTAAATAATAAATTGTGTTTTGTATTTTGTTCAGCCTCCRAGGACAATAGTCACTGCCACCCAAGAACTACAGAAAATCTACCAAACATTTGAAAAGAAAGTCTTAAACACACCAAATGAAGTTGAAACCACCAAGATTAAAGAYCTTCCTGGGACTCATAAGGCTTGTAATACCCAAGATACAGCTAATAAAATCACACAAGATAACATGGAATTAGATTCTCTTGATGGGAATGAGTTYGACGTTACTGAAAGTAGAMCTAAGGGGGAGTACACAGAGGATGTCTTTGGTGCCAATGATGACACTGATGACACTGATGAAGATGATAATGATAGCCGTGGTGGYGATAGTAGTTCAGATGAAGAATGTGGTGTCAATCCAGATGCACCAGTCAGAGAATATCGGCAAAGGAAATTGTCTGATCCAAGGAGATTGCACCCAGATTTGTGGTTCAATGAGCTAGGAGAGGTATGGATGTATTGTACTTACTGTAATTCCAATCACCTTACTAGTTAATTGATTTATTAATGGTTGAATAACTGATCAGTTGATTGTTTGATTAACTTTAATAATGTTGGAATGAGAGTTATTTGATCAAAAAATTATTGATTCAATGATTGCCTGNGACAGTGATCAGTTGGTTGATTGACTGACAGTGATCAGTTGGTTGATTGACTGACAGTGATCAGTTGGTTGATTGACTGACAGTGATCAGTTGGTTGATTGACTGACAGTGATCAGTTGGTTGATTGACTGACAGTGATCAGTTGGTTGATTGACTGACAGTGATCAGTTGGTTGATTGACTGACAGTGATCAGTTGGTTGATTGACTGACAGTGATCAGTTGGTTGATTGACTGACAGTGATCAGTTGGTTGATTGACTGACAGTGATCAGTTGGTTGATTGACTGACAGTGATCAGTTGGTTGATTGACTGACAGTGATCAGTTGGTTGATTGACTGACAGTGATCAGTTGGTTGATTGACTGACAGTGATCAGTTGGTTAATTGACTGACAGTGATCAGTTGCTTGATTGACTGACAGTGATCAGTTGGTTGATTGACTGAAGTGCTTGGTTGGAAGATTAATCTAATGGTTGACTGATTGATTGATTGAATGATTGATTGACTTGCTGACTGATTGGTCAATTGGTTGATTGATTTATTCATTGATGTTCAGGGTAATGACGGGCCAGTCTGCAAGTGCTGTGCCAAAGATAAAGAACWTGGAATAAGACACGCTGTTTATCCTGGTGAAACGGTAAAAAGCACATGAAAAATATGAGGAAAAATATGAGTTGAATTCTCTATTCAACTAACTCTTTCCTTCCTTCCTTCCTTCCTTCCTTCCTTCCTTCCTTCCTTCCTTCCTCCTTGTTTTATCACTACTTATCAGGCTATTATTCAATTCAAAGGATGTTCCATTGTGTCATCCATTAACCAACAATGCCAATAAGCTACACCATTACTGGGTGACGGTCACACCACATTGTAACTTCATGGTAAGTAGATATCTGTATAAAAATAATTACAAACTTATGTAAACTCTGCAGGTAAATCTTTGTGATATGTTTCTTTAGATCATTTGATAAATAAATATGCCCAAGAATTACAATTTGGTTTTGTCACAAAACACATAATACAATTTATATAATCTTATAATGAAAGAAATACAAAAATCTACTTCAAAATAGTACAGGAACCCTTGGTTTTGTTACATATACCCAGGGCTCGAAATGACGGCTAGACATATGCAGGACAAGATGTCCTTCCAAATTCATTATTGGAAGGTCATGTCAAGTTTTGAAAGGACAAAAACTTTATTTATACTATTATTTCTTTTAGTTTATAGGTTTTTGTATTCAGAAAGATCGGCAAGCATTTTAATGGCTTGTAAAAGATTTATTTAGCGAATTGAGAATTGATTTGTCTAAAAATGTGGCAGGTCAATTTGTCCTTTCAAAATCCGATTTGGCCAGTCATCTAGCAAATTTGGAAGGACATTTTTCTTTAACCTGCCATTATTTTGAGCCCTCTATACCAGCTCATTGGCTCATATTGTTCATACTGTTATCTACTGCTATGTAATTTTGTTAACTACATAACCTGTTATTATATTACATGTATCTGTTTTTAGACTGATCGACCAACTGTCATCAAGCATAGAGACAARGATTATGTGTTTGAAGGGTTTTCTATTGTATCCCATGAGCCTTTAGACTGGGTATTATACTGTATTATACATCCTTTATATTTAATGCAATAATTTAATAAATGAATGATTATTGTTTTTTCCAAGTTTAATGGTTTTACAGTTCTATTCAATTAAGTTGTTTAAATTTATTTTGAATTTAGTGATGTTATTTTGATGTTGTTGTTGTTCTTTTTAAGATCCCAACTTGTTCTTTTATTCGTTTTAATATTGAATACACATTTCACCTTATCAAGGAGCCATTACCTAAGGTAAAATATCCATTTATTCTCTAATTTGTTCATCCATCCATTTATTTTATTCAATATGACATTTGTTCATTTAATTCATTTATCAATTTATTTATTGTTCAGTTGTTTATTAAACTTGTTCATTTGTTGACTGGTTCTGAAATCATTTGTTTGTCAAGTTTTGCGTCTTCTAAAAACTATTTTGATTCTCACTCAACAGAACTTCTGTATAAAAGGATTAGAGCTATTTTCAAAGTTTCTGTTTTCAAATATTTTGGAACTTTTTGACTGGACATTGAAGGGTAGGTTACGAAAAATACATTAGCATTACAATTTAGATTTATCTATTTTTATTAAATGCATTAATGTTGTTTTACCAATAGGACCAGATAAAAAAGGCTGTCCCATTTTCCATTTCCTACCGAGGTTTATACTGCATCAAAATGGTAAATTTTAATAAATTTTACTATAAATCATGGTAATTTATTTTACCTCCTGAAGGTGTTGACAACTTTACTTTTTTACTATGAAAAATGTGACTTTTTTGTTACTTTGTTTATTTTTTAGATAAAAAGGATGGTCATGAAATCCATGAGTTATTATCAATGGACAAAGTKTTATATCATTTGATAAAAAGTTCATCTGAATTTGTTATAAAGGTATTTAGCGCACCCAGGAAAGAGTGGATGAGAGAGTCATGATATACAAATAAAGGATTAGATAATAATGTACTTATAATAGTACTTAGAAGGAGGTTATTCCAGGAGAAAAACACTGAGTTTCAGAGTCACTTTGTAATGTCGCGCAATTGCTAGTAATGAGGAAGTCTTGGGGACTAGTCTCATCCAACAGATTTGCTTCACTCACACTGAAGATGACGGTTTTCTGACTTGTAGTTAACAATTTGGTTTCAGCCACGTCATTTATCAATGCCAAGACAAAAAGAAAGACCTTTCGCCAAAGCACATTATAACAACATTGTCACTCAACCAAACAAGGTAAAGGCTCATGYATTCATTGTTATCAAATTAATTAATAATTCATAAGGTAAACRCAATGGAAAATCATTGCCGTGACCGCATCTTTATATGAGCAAGAGATTTGTCCTGATTTGCATATGACTTTAACTTCGATTTTCTCTTACAAATGATATTTTATCCGGAAGTTTTTTTCGAAATATGCTTTACCTTATGTTGGAATTTGATAAGCAATATAAAATATTCGCGTCCGACCTTTATGGGCTATAAAACTAAAATCTAAAAAGGTCTCTCACTCACATTCTATATATTACTTGTAATATATGTTTTGTTTGTCTTGTTTTAGTATATTTTGATTTTTACAAATGTATATTCTTTGAACAAAGCTGATGTTTTGTTTTAATTTCTAACAGAAGCCAGCAGCTTTTAGAATCGATGACATTTTGTTTGAAAACGGACGTGATGGAAAAAAGGTAAAAATACAGGAGCAAATCCAATCTATATTTCTACATTTCATTTAACATTCTGACCTTATTACATCTCTCTATTCACCAGGCATTTCCTCAAATTCTACATCATGGTATTCGACCTGTTCAAATGTGCTATGCTGGAAACCCTAAGTAAGTACAAGCATTTGCGCACTTATTGTGGCTAACCTATCATTTTTTACGAATTAAACTTAGGCCTGACAGTTCAGACGTCGATCTTTTGCCACACCTAATCTAATTGCTTGCATTTAGTTGACGAGACGTTTGCTTTCAGAATCAATTGATATTTACAGGTCATAATAAGTTTGTCTAACTGAATAAAATCTAGCAATGTCAATGAATTCAGAATATGAAATGTTTATAAACTCAACTCAAGCAATTAGATTAGACGCGACAAAAGATTAACATCTGAACTGGGCCTAAGTCTGGACATTAAATTCTTCCAGGTACCAAAAACTTTGGAAGTCATATGTACGGTTACGGAATA